TGAATGTACAAATGTGCTTTACACAATTGATGTGTGTATGGATTGTGATAAGGGTTGTATGAGCCCCTAATAAAATGAGTTTTAAATTTTATGGCCTTGGAAACTCTGGAGCAGCTCTTTGTTCTGTCGCATCACTATGATTCATTTCCAACTCACCAATGAGATACTCCTGTCAAGAATCCTATGAACTGTGTTATTTTTTATTACTATTTTGAGATAAGACAACTGGATTACAGAGGTATTATAAATCACCATAAATTTATGTAACTTGTAAGAGGCAGAGTTGGGATTTGACACCAGACTCAGTAACACAGTTTGACATCAGAATCTTCTTTTCTACCATAGCCTGAGTTATACCCTCCCATTTGCCATGTTTGTGTATAAGATACAGTTTATGATAACTTTTTTGAAGAGTCTTAAATTTGTTTACAGTGCTAAACAAATGGTAGAGAATACTATATATGTGATTAATGAACTAATGATATGATATGATGGCATGCTAAAGTTATATATAATTTAAAAGCAAAAATGTTATTTTGAGGACTGTTGTACATGCCAAGATCTTTGTAGTCATTTCATATGCTTGTGAAAGCTACATAATGATAAAAAAAAATACTAAAGAAGAAACGATGCTTTTGAATTGTGGTACTGCCAAAAATAGTAAATAGACCAGGTCCTGCTAGAAGAATGAACAACTGTTTTAGAAGTACAACCAGAATGTGCCTTAGAATTGGGGATAGCGAGACATCTTTGGTGCTTTGGTCATGTTCTCCGTCGGGACTGGTCTCTAGAGAAGGACATCATGCTCACTTAGTGGAGCAGAGGCCAGTGAGCAAGAAGACTCAAGATGGATTGACACAGGATGTGACAGTGAGCTCAAACATAGGAGATATTGTGAGAATGGCAAAAATCTGGGCAGTGTTTCATCCTCTTGTACACATATTGCTGTTAGTTGGAAACTGTTTGGTGGGCACTTCACAATAAATAATAGTTATGTAGGATAATCATTTAATTCTTCTTGGCTTCAAAGAATAACTGGTTTTCATTGTTGGTTATTTTAGGAGCTAACAATAGTCAGCTTGGGCTATTCGGAAGCAATATGCTCTAAGACTATAAAATTTGGGCAAAGGCATTGCTTACAAATCTATTATATTCCTGTAGTCACTTTTTTCTTGCTGGTACTGGCTCAAAATTATGTTTTATTTAGAATTTTCCCTTTTTGAACCTTCTGTTGGAATTTTTTTGTTGCTTTGTTCATGTTAAATGACATTGTTACCAGATAATTCAGTTCTTTTTAGAAGACGTCTTAAAGAATTTGGTCATAGTAGTTATGATAGTAAAGTTGGCATTGAATTTTCCATATACAATGTTTTAAATAGTAGTGATTTTCAATTTGTTTTAGTTTTTATTTTGCCTGTATCTCTTTCAGAATTCTCCACTTTATCAGTACTTGCAGGATCTGGGACACACAGATTTTGAAATATGCTCTTCAGTGTCACCAAAAATAGAAAAATGCACAGCAACCGAGAGGCACCAAAAGACTCCAGTAACAGACCTTTCAAAAGTGAGCAAGCATGCTACTTCTCTACATTTCAATCTCTCTCTTGTTTTTGTTTTGTTTTTGCTGCACTGAGTGTTTTTAACTGCCTTTTCCCTTATCCTCTGTACCA